GGCCTCTTCTGAATCCAGCTTGAACCTCTGGAAGTTCTCTGTCAATGTATGATTGTAGCCGTTTCTGTATTACCTTTAGCAAAATTTTGCTCGCTTGAGATATCAAAGAGATTGTTGGATGATTTCCGCATTAGGTGACTAGAGAAGCGGAAAAGGCTGTGTTTTGTGACATTCAAATACATTTTTCTTCCACTGTGTAATAAAGTTCTATGGTAGATTGTGTGTATGAAGCAATTAAGTCTGAGCAACAGAGAAAAACAAATTTTACATTCATGAATAGTACTTATAATTATACTTCATATCAAGGCTAATTGCTTTGAGATTTGTGCCTTGATTATAGCAATAATAAACATGCTTTATTTTTCCAGGTTGTTGTTGTTGTGAAGTGCCGTCGAGTCGATTTTGCCCCGTAGCGACCCTATACAGGGTTTCCAAGGAGCAACTGGTGAGCTTGAACCACTGACTTTGCAGTTCAGACGACTTTGCAGTCTGATGCATTAGCACACAGCGCCACAATTTCATAATATGTGTTCCGTAAAATGGAAATGGACCAGTTCATGCATTTATGGATCAACATCTATAGTCAAGCCATAACCTGGCAAATTATTAAGTAGTGGAATTATCAGTGAATTTGCTAAATGGCTATTTCTGCTGCAAGGATTTGTTTTAGCTATAACCTATATGGGATTTGTTTTAGCTATAACCTATATGGGATTTGTTTTAGCAGCAATCTATATGGAATTTCTTTTAGCGGTAACCTATATGGGATTTGTTTTTAGCGGTAACCTATATGGGATTTGTTTTGGCGGTAATCTGTATGGAATTTCTTTTAGCGGTAACCTATATGGGATTTGTTTTTAGCTGTAACCTATATGGGATTTGTTTTTAGCGGTAATCTATATGGGATTTGTTTTAGTGGTAACCTATATGAGATTTCTTTTAGCTGTAACCTATATGGGATTTGAGGAGCCCTGGTGATAACAGTAGTTAAGTGCTTGACTACTAACTAAATGGTCAGTGGTTCCTTTCCAGCCACTTCACAGGAGAAAAATAAAGATACACGGCCTTGCAAACGTGTTTGGCAGTTCTAGTCTGTGCTGTAGGGTTGCTGAGCTTTTATGCTTTGAATATACTTTCTCATAGCCCTGTGTTCCCGTCTTCCCACCAAGAAGACTAGCCAGAACAAGAATAGCTCTGCCCTACTAGAGTCATGGTATTGACGTTTACTGTTAATATTGGTTCCTCAGTGTCCACAGCATAATGGGGAGAGAGTTGCACACAGCGGACACAAGAATGTGGAGTGGGTACCCTAAACCCACAAATTTACAGTGTCTTGATTC